TTGACTATGTTCACAACAGATTAATGAAATTATTAAATATTACAAATGAAATATACATAGTTTTGTTATGATAATTAAATTATAAAGCAGAGAATAAAATTAATGTCATCTGTCTACCAACGAACTAGTGACAACAGCTTTTCACTAACATGTAGACCAGTAATTCTCAACCACTGTGATGCAGCACTTTTAGGTGCCGCCAAATTTTAGAAATGATAAAGTAAAAATTATAATGCTTTTTCTTATTAAGAGTGATGTTTAAATTAAAGAAAAGTATATATACAGTGAAACCTGTGTATAACGATACTGTCTATAACGATAAACCTGTCTATAGCGATATTTCCTTGAGGTCCCGGTGAAATTCCTATTTACTCAATGTATTTTTAACCTGTTTATAGCGATAACCACTTTTCAGTTAAACATGTCTACAACGATAATTTTTCCTCTTTTGATAGTTGATAGTTCTATTCCGATTTTTCTACCGTTGGAAAACGACTCCCCATCGAGCCTAAATGTGAGATAACAAAATGTTTTTTTTTTTTTTCATCTCCTTTGTATGTAATATTCTTTCGTTGTTTCTGAGAAAAAAAGCCACTTTTAGGGGAAATTAGAGCAGTAGAAATGGGTGAAGGGGTATTGTAGGAGGGAGAGAGCTTCGTCAGAAAAACGGGTGACACCCGAATTTCACCCGAGAATGCCATATTGCTAATTAACACTTTGCAAGATTTTGTTGCAACATTACCAAATGTAACTGATGTTCATTTGAATTCATTAGATGGACTGAAATCTATGTGCATGGAAATGGCAATTGCTTCCAAAAATAAGCAAACAAAACTAACCGATTATTTTTCTAAATAATTTCTGTTTTGATTCATAAAATTGTAAGTAAATTTTTCTTGTGTGCTGTTTCATAATTCTAAGTAAAATTTTCATTTGGAGCCTATAAAAGAAGTTTAATTTATCATTAGTTTTAAACGTATACTTTTAAATTTCAAACCTGTCTATAACGATAACCTGCCTATAACAATATTTTATTTAGGTCCCTACAGTATCGTTATAGACAGGTTTTACTGTATATATAATATTAAATACATGTAATTTTTCCACTCTTTGACAGCGTTAACATTTTTGTCGGAGAGAGTCCTGTCTCTGACAATCTTAAAATGTTCAAATAAATAGGAAATTAAAATTAATAATTAACAAAAGAAAACGAGCTAAATATTAACTTAGAAAAGAAAAGATATCGATCAAAAAAAAGCTATCCAATTAATAGTTATAAAAACAAATTAACGAGGAATCACAAAAAATAACAATAAATGTAAAAAAAACTAACAATTAATAACTAACAAAAAAAACAGTTAATTCCTTTATAAACATACTGTTGTTTTGTGGCACATTATTTTATTTTACATTCAAAATTATTATCATAAACTATTTTATACAGTTTATTATAGTTAGTAAACACATTTTGAACTTATTTTTTTCTGTGTGTTGACAAATTTCAAAATTATTAAAAGTGTGCCGCGACAAAAAAAAGAAGTTCAGAATCACTGATGTTGACATATATACTTGATAAAATATACTTCATATACATTAAATAAAATAGATTAAAAAATTGTAAGGAATGTGGAACAAACATATTAGAATTAATACTTTTAAATTACAATAAAAAATGCCATTTTCCTCCCACAATTTAGAACAATAAAATTTCTGAAATAAAATAATTTTACACTTTTTAGAGATATGTAATTAATATTATTTAAAAATAAGTAAATTTAAGATGGACTCCAAATACACAAGCTGATCCAAAACTAGAAAGAGTTGTTTGGAGTCTTGTTTAAAAAAAAAAAAAAAAAACTGCAATTATTTACAATTTATGAAAAACTATTTTAATCCATAGCTAAACACCTAAAATTTTACTTCATGCATAGTTTCAAAAGATAACATTTGATTTTTCATATTAACAGTTCTGGAATATTTATTCACTTGTATTGGCACCAAGATAAAAATTTGTAAGCTACCTCAGTTTTGTTATTTTTCAAAAGCCTGTTATTTCCATTAATAAAATGAATACTGATTAAATATGCTATAATTTATTCACAATTTTTCATATAGTGATTGTGATGCCACAATGGGCATTACACATTTTGTAGCTTTTAAAATTTATTTAACTTCCTAAATTTATCTTAATTGAATTTTAATTAAATTAAATCAATTATTTAATTATTATATTTTATAAAAAGCGAATATAAAATATTTTATTCCTTTCTTAACAATCAATGTAACAAATAACTTTTTATTTTAATACTAAGTAAGGCTCATTAATTCACTGGCGCGACTAAATCGAAAACAAAAATCTATTTATAAACTCTTTCTTCTTTAATCCTTTTTTTCTTCTTTTTCATGAGAATGATTTATGATGTAAAACTTAAAATTGAACATGGTTACATTCCGAAATTATAAAAATAAAGAAAAATTCTCTCTAAGGGATCAAGAAAATAATTCTCTTCACATCGGGAATATTTTTTAAAAGATAAATATTTTACGGCTGGGATCAGAAGGTGGAAGTCTCTTGTCCAATCGCCAATAATTTGAAATTAAAAATAAAATGAATTCTTACCAACAGACAGTTAGGTGCATGGGAAGAGATCCATGGTTGGCGATTCATCAAAAGATAACATAGCCAAAAGTAAAACCAACCTCCCATAATCAATATTAAATTTGAAAATAATTTGGCAAAAGCCAATCACGAAGAAAACTGTCAGAGTTAGTATAACCATGTAACTGAAACATTTTCGTAAAGCACAATAATAACAAATAATTGTTTAGGGTTAAATTAAGTTATCCTATTATATGCTATAATTAAGTTATCCTATATTATATATTAGATTATACAGAAATAATTAGATTATCATGAGACTTATACAACAAACTTTGACAAATGTTTCTTAAGGCACATCCTAAAATAACAGTTGAATGTTATAGCCAAAATTAATTTAGTTTTTGACTAAAATGTATTGGGCAATTCATAAAATGAACAAACATTTAGCTAATTGACCACAATTTTGACTTTAATCATAAGGTATCGTCATGAAACAAAATTTTTTAGGTAAGAATTAAATAATATATTAACCGAATAGTAAAACATTAATGACTATACATAGATAACTGTTAAAACCAATAAAATATTATAAATACTGTTTATGATCAATCAATGCAATTTTTTGGCTTTCACTTAAAATAATAAGAATGAATTTACTATACTACGTTTCACCTTAAGTTGGCACTGCAGGGAAGGGTAGGAAATGTAATACTCCGCCTTTGAAAAGTAGTTCTTTACTATTTTGGAACTAATTGCAGTTTAAATGCGCATACAAATATAAATAAATATTGTATAGTAAGAAAAGTTTATCTTGAAACATGTATTAGAAGTTTTTCATGTTTAAATGTATTTAACTTATAAATACATTTTCAGTAAAGCGAATGTACAAAGAAGAAGGTATTTTAGTTAGGCGCTGGACTAGTTTTCAAGGCCAAGGAATTGGCGCGTTGGCTATGTTTTTACATTGGTCAGTCAGCTCTTTTCATTTTTGTGCAGTTCTTAATTCGCTTTCTTCTACTCCCATCTCTTAATTGTTCTTTTATTTTGCTTTTTATTGGTCATAAACTGTTAATTTGTTGTTTTTTACTAGTTATTTATTGTTAGCTCGTTTTTTTATAGTTAAGAAATTTTTTTTGCATTAATTGTTAATTTGTTGTTTTTTACTAGTTATTTATTGTTAGCTCATTTTTTACAGTTATTAAATTTTTATTTTTGCATTAATTGTTAATTTTTTGTTGTGATTCCTTGTTAGACTTTTTTCTTCTTTTTTTGTTGCTAATTACTAAATGTTAGCATGTTTTTTTTGTTAGTTTGTAAGGTTAATTTAAACCAATCAATATATTTAATTCTTAGTTTTGAAATACAAAGCGAAAAAAGCTGAGAAATTCTTTCTCTTATGTAGAAAATATTAAGATATTTAAGTATCTGACAAAATATTTCGAGACTAACTAATTATACGGATTTTTCTCTTAAGCCTCCTTTCACCCGCAAAGATCCTGAAAAGTAAAGGAAGGTTCTGATATTTTAAAATATGTATTTTTTTTTGAAGAAATGCACCTAACCACACAAGTAGAATTTTTCCTGATGAGAAATTGTGGATTGAATTCAATTCAGGGCGACCCCTCAAAGAGTTTGCAGAGTTCCTGCTGAGTGTAAGAGGATGGGATAAGGCAGCTGAAAACATAAGGGGGAGGCATACAAGCTGTATGTGCCCCCCATGTGGATAATTCTAAAAATCCAAATTTATACCATTTTTGAGAATCATTTTTTTAGGTAAGTTCTTTTGTCTCTTAGAAGCAAATATATTTCAGAAAAAAAAATTTCAGAAAAACATTTCTATTTTTTATTTATATAAAAAAAAGAACGGTATATAATAAAAAACATAGGTATAATATTTTTCATGATCAATGATATCATGCCTATGTTGACTTTCTTCCCCCCCACAAAACACCAATGTGGGAAAAAATTAATGTACATTAATCTACAAAAAATAAGCATATAAAAATAAATATTTAAAACAATGTATTCATGCGCATCTATGCATTTCTTTTTTTTTTACTTAGATTTCAGCAAAAAATAATCTTTTCATATATATATTTTTTTCTGTTGTTTAAAAGTAGTTTCGTTTAGTTAATCATCGTTTAGTTAATCATCGTTTAGTTAATCATTTTGTTTAGTTAATCATAATAAGAATATCTGCTTTTTTAAATACTAATTAAGAAATCAGCTTACAACTAGTATCTTAATAATTATTAGAAATGCTATAAAAAAATCGTATTCTTTTCTGCAATCTCTTCAAAATTTTAGTACAATTCTTGGTTTTTTTTTTTAAAAAATATCGTCGTTTTGCTTTCTCAAACGCCAATACTGGCTACTCTCTCCTTTTTTTGCAACCTCATCCCCCAACCGACTTAAAGAGCAACCCAGTTTCCATGACAACGGCTGTAATCCGGTCTACCTGCCTTTCTCCCCAGTGCCAACTTGAGGTAAAATGGACTATAACTTGTGGTGTGTTTACAAAAGTGATCAAATTATAAATTTCCTGAATTTCCCAGAATATTATTAATAAGAGTTTGACTATCTCTGTTATGAATTTCAAAACAATAAATATTCAAGACTTCACAAATTAAAAATGTATAATACTGGAACATAAAGAGTAAAAATAATATTTGCAACATTCATAAAATTAACTAAATAACAAACATAGAAATGTATTTACACTTCTTAAATTGAGCTTTATTAAAATAAGGTATATAAAAATAATTTCTTTCAAAATTAAATCAGTAAATAAATAAAATATTTCATCAAAAATATGAATTAAAAATATACATCATTATAAATACTTTGTATGTTCAATTGTTTATTTACAATAAAATACAGTACATTAAAAATTAGAATATATTTATGATCACTTTCTTTTTTTAATTAGTTTGGACTTAAAGCTGCACCTTAATCCTTTTCCTTCCTTCTTTAAGAAGTATAAACTAAACTTGCCTATTAATTATTGAATGAGAATAAGAATTTTTCCATGTAGCAAACTCTTCTTTAGCTCTCAATTTCAGATTTGAATCAGGAGAAAATATAGTACTTTTTGTAACTAATTGCTTAATTTCATCCTGATTTTTCCAAACACCTAAAACAAAAATTGAAGCCATGTTACAACTATAAAAGAACTATTGATAATTTATTGTAATTAACGTGTAGCATTAAACATAATAAATAACAACAAAAAATTGAAGGCAACAAAAAACATTTATTTGTGTAGGTATAACTAATAAAAAAATTTATTCAGTTAGTGACAGTAGAGGAGTATGAATCAAAAATTATCATCTACTCTTAGAACTAAATTATGGCAAAGTAATCAAAGCATGTGACAAGAGCATCACTAGAGAAGAGTCCCAAATCCAAAATCAAATTATTACTAGCACAATCGTAGATCTAAATTACGGCAAAATAATCAGTGCATGTGACAAGAGCATCAACAATCAAACTCTAATAAATTTACTTTTATTATCAACATTGTCGAATCTAGTTGTAAAATCTTATATTTTTGTAGAATCTCTCTATTTTAAAGGCTGAAAAAATACTAATAAATACTAATAAATTCACGATAACTCTCAAAAGATACTAATGCAGTTGAATCCCACTTTAGGGAACGAAGCAATCGCTACACAATAACGAAAATTCATTATACCAATATTACGAATTTCAACATTAGCCAAAATTATTTTGTTACATAGGAATTTTTCGCACAAAAAAAAATTATAATAATAAATATCACATTTAATACAGTTTTGATCTATTTGTACTCTACATGTAGAAAATATCAATGTTCTAAAAGCTCACAAAAACAATTGATTTATTATCACTTACCTGTCAGAAATTACATAATCTGTAATTCTTTTCAGTACAAATGATTTATAACCAGTAGAAATTACAAACTTCTCAAAATTATGCACATTTTCAAAAAACTGAACTGGAAATCACTTTTATGGAAAGTCACATGTATTTTTACTTCTTCAAACATGTGTTGGGGTTTAGTCATTTCAGGGTGGTCCCTTACAAGTGATTCATCTTTTTTGACATGTCTCTTTTATAACTGAAACTTTTTATTTTGAAGAAGATTTTGATTATATTTGAATTCTGAGATTATTGTATACTTTCGAAACATGGAAAAGTGTTTCAATCACGAGAAAAAATGAGAACTGCTGCTACTTTTAACCTTTGTTAAATTGGATTACGAATTTTGTAATATTAGTATTTTAATTTATTATTTCTATTGAGATTCATTTGGGAATTCGGTAAATATTTGTTACTTTGAAATTTGCGCTTTTTCGGATTTTGATAAAACGGGATTTGACTGTAATTAGCCTATTTCGAATAAACCAGCACCTTAAAGAAGTAAATAAAAGCATTTAAGTACATCCAAACCTTTAATAGAGTACAGATTAAACAGAAGTGTTATTTTAATTATGAACTTCAAAAAATTAATGAATCAAAATTATTACATTTTCATTTTTGATCTAGCATACTATAAAGCTTTAATTTTCTAGCACCTTTGTTAATAGACAAACTTTTGATTTGTTTCTCCTTCATACACTATTTTTCTATCAATAAATGAAGATAAAACTGCAGATTAAAACATGGTTTTCTATATGCCAGGCTATCTGTGGGTTCAAATAAATAATTTATAGCATTTCAATTTATTTTAAAGAACACAAAGTATAAGTTTTATTCAATGTAAATGATAAAAAAAAATCATTAAATTCTACTTACCAGAATATAATCCAGCAAGTAATGCAGCCCCACAACTAGAACTTTCTGTATTGTTTAATCTGCTTATTTTTCTTTCTGTCACATTAGATGCCAATTGAACAATAAAGTCATTTTTGGCCACTCCCCCAGCAACACTAGAAAAAAAGACAGCTATTTACTGTAACATTAACAAGTAAAAACTTAACAGTAACAAATGTAAAAGAAGTATTGAACAAGTATTGTGGAAGATAAAATTTAATGCAAAAAATTAAAGAATATTATTCAAAAGAATCACTGGCCTAAGACTACAAAATATTTAAATGCACTATTGCAAATCTAAAACAAGTATATACTCACCAAAATAAAGAATCTCTACAAATCTCATATTTGCTTTGAACTATTTTGTACAACTCACAAACTTGAAAAGATAGAGCTTCTAAGATTGATCGAACTAAATGTTCTTTTGAAGTATGAGTAGCTATTCCAGTGAAAGATGATGAAAAAGCTTCCCCTTTAGAATGCTTTAAAAAATAGATACAATTAATATATTTTAGACAGTATGCCAAAAGTGCAATTTTATTCTCTCATAACTTTCAAAATATAAAACATGAATAAGAATTTTCTTTTGAAATTTAAAAACAAGAGAAATAAATATGCAGTTAAACTCTGTAAGACTAGCTATTTTGTTTATAAAATTCTATAACAGATTTAATTTTTTAAATGTAATTTTTTATTTTTTTAAAGAGAGATTAAATTAATTTTTTTATATAAATAATGTTAACTAAGCATAATTCAATCTGTGCATAAAATATCCAATTCTATTCAGGAGCATTGTGACATGCGTGAAAGAATGTTTTAAATTTTAATTTATTTTTTGCCTAACTGTGACAAAAAGTTCATAGGTTCATGGGAAATCAGCGCTTATAAATAAATTACATGAAAGTTCTTAATTTAAGAACTAAACTTGATACAGAGTGATAATGTTTAAGAAAAAGTGATCACTAAACTTAATGTAGAAAAGATAACTTTATGTATTGCTAAACTTAATGTAGAAAAGATAACTTTATGTATTGCTAATCAATTGAATTTGGCTAGCTTATTTATTTTGGTTATTTTTATAAGTTAAGGTTAGAAGATAATTCTAATTCATTCTATTGATATGTTGCTGAGATATTTGATGTAACAATTTAAAATGGTATATATAAAATCTATTTTTAAAAACAATGCATTAAGTTGTATCATCTACGTATTCTTAAATAAGAATTTAAAGTATGTACAATACTATGTGGAAAGCTGAATGTTAAATTCAAATGAATTATGTATAACTGATGAAAATGATTCATATATTTAAACATGAGATTAAGTTAATTAAATAAAAAATATTATGATTCAAAAATAAAAAAGTTATTAATTAGTTTTAAAATTTTTCAAATATAAAAATAAACTAAGTGTAAAGTAAACAGAATTATTCATAAAAAATGATGAGAAATTCGTATATGTAGCTATCCTGAGAACAGAACATATATATACACACATTATATTATATATATATACAGTAGCGAGCCAATTAACCGGGAAGCTCGGGACCATTGCTATCCCGGATGTCTGAATTTCCTGGTTTTCTTCCCTTTTTCCCCCGGCCAAAAGTGCCGTTAATCAGTGTTTTAGCAAACCCAAATTACAAGGAAAAAGTGAAACACATTTTAAAATAAGAAAAAAACGAAAAAATCTTAAAAATTAAAAAAAAAAACGGTCGAAAAATATTTAAAAGGATAAAAACATTTGCAAGTTTAGACAAGAAAAACAAGTTTAAAAAATATGAAATTCGAATATTTATTTTTTGATAATAATTAAAATCCTCAAATTAACTAATATAAAACAAAACTAATAATTAAAAAACACAATATATTTCATACCTAATTATATGGGGGGGGAATGATGAGAGGAAAACTTATTAATCTAAATAAAAACAACACTTGAAAATTATCGAACGGAAACAATATTTAAAAAAGGCACTAACATAAATATTAAAACCTGGAACAAGGCAGGATATTATAAGATCAACGGAATAAAAAAAAATAAAAAAACTTAAAGATAAAAATTATGAATAAAAAGAATTCATTTATTGAGTACAAAATTTATCTTGAAAAGAAAAAGAAAACTCAAAACAAAATCAAAATTAAAAAAAGAAAACTGCTTTCTGCTTCATAAAATAATCATCTGCTTTTTTAACGTGATTTCACATCAAGAAAAACTTGCTAATGATACTGCATTTCTAAAAAATCAAAATTTATTTTTTAAAAAAATGTATTGTTTTGTTAATCAATGTCAAATACATGAATATAACTGGTGATTAAAAAACGTTTTGTTCCTAATAAATAATGCAATATCCGAAATAATAAAATAATTCATCATAATAAATCAAGGATAACAAAAACTGAGTAACTAAGTGGATTTAAAATAAATCTCACATGTCAATACAGAAGAATACAGCCAGAAGTCATACATGTCAATACAGCCAGAAGTTTCAAGTTCCATAACTGGGACATTCATTGATATGCCTGTGCAATGCATTTTCCCCATCCCCTCGTAAATCAAAGAGAAAACAAAATCAGCATGCCACATCCTATCCACTCACTGAAGTTTGATTGACGACAGCTTATCAGAAAAACAGCCGACACACAGGAGAGAATAAAACATTTGTCCCTTCCCTGCCCCCTCTGGATCTAATGATCTTCAAGGTCGGGGAAGAATTGAAGTTTCTCTGGGCAAAGGAGAAGAATTCCCCCCTTTTCCTCTACTCAACTTTAAGGATGAGTCAAATTTCCACTTTTTTTTAAATAATCGTTATACTTCAAAATAGCGGGAATACCAAGCAAAATTCTTCCTGGTTTCCTGGATGCCGGATAAATGGTTCTCAACTGTATCATATTATTTATATATTTTTTATTTCTAATGGCAGATTATGAACAGTTACAACAGAAAACAATAAAAAGAAAGAGTACAACAAAAAATGCTGAAACAGAGTTCACTAATCTAACATATCTCTAGCCTCCAAATAGCGCTTGGGGAGAAAAGTCTTGCCTAGAGCAAGACAGTGGAGTAGATGTGCGAAGACCTCTCCAGAACTCCACAGTGTGCATATCAGGGAAGGAACAATTTTGAGTCTATAAAGATTTTTTCCTAAGCAATTGTGTCTGGTAGCTAGGTGGAATTCAGCCACTGCTCTATGCCTTGGGCCAAATTAGGATGGAAACACGGTTATTGGTCTTCCTGAGCACCGACTTTAATAGATATTTTAATACAATTTTTAATAGTATGAAAGGGCATAGGACGAGAAATTCTTTGCATAATTAAAGCATTTTTTTTAGCCAGGAAGTCAACTTTCTCGTTGCCTGGAACTCCACAGAGGGCAGGAACCCACTGGAGTACTATAGTTTTCTCAAGTGATGCCACGTTTTTAAGATAACAGCAGTCCAATATGTCCTGTGTTTTGGGATTATTGTCAGAAACGATAGCCAACAGAGCAGCTCTACAACGGCTGATGATAACCGCTCTTGTGAATTTTTCTAAGTGACATTGCCGCTAGGACAGAGCTGTGCAGATTGCAGCAATTTCTCCGTCAAACACAGTACCCTATCCCACAGTGACGCAGGAAAAAAGATGTTGGAGAAAACTCTGGCATTTGCGTTAGGGCTATCAGACAAGGGGAATCACTTGGTAATGATATGGAGCAACTCTGGTTCAGGGTAAAAATCGTTTAATACTTCGAGAGCAAAGGCTCTCCAAATAGAAGGATCCATATTACTTTTAGTTATCTCTTGACCCAAATCAAGATTAATCCAGAAAGATTTCAATGAATTGGATTTTGTGGTTGGATGAGTAATTCTAGTTTATGATTTACCAGCTTGCAGAGAGGGACTATCCACACGCTGCAATATACACTGACTCGCTCTCCTCATTGCCGGTCCTTGGCGACTCAACTCCTGAACTTGCCATCATCGAAGACACAAAATCACTGTGGAGACAAAACATTAAATGCCATTGGGTAAAAGCGCATTACGGGATTAGAGGCAATGAGGAGGTGGATCAGGCAGTCAAACAGACCATCAGCATCGGTCAGGTCAATATGGAGGTCCGGAGCACAACTGCCCAGATTAAAACCTTCTTAAAAGCTCATAATATGAAACAGTGGAAATTAGAGTGGGAGAGTTCTGACACCGGCAGACGTTCAAATTTTTCAAAGACCCTTCAATAAAACGCCTGCAGGCTGACTTTTATCTAAATAAATTTTTAACTGGTCACGGGACGGGATGTTTGGGGTACACCAAAACAGGTTATTTAACAAAACTCCTAACTGTAATTATTGTCAAATTGAACAGACCATAGACCACCTCGTATCTGACTGTGCCCACTTCCAGACACTCTGTGGAGATCAATTTGAAGGTAAAAGCCAACATCAGTGTTACACAGAGTTGGCCAGCAAGAATAAAATCAAAACAATCATCAAGACCACGCTTGAAGAGGTACTGGCAAATATAATAATCTAGCATGAGAACCTGCCTGCTGCAGACACTTAATCACTTATCTTGTCCACTTAGGTTTTACCAATCTCTAATGTTATTCAGGTGTCTCACTGTTTTTATCACGTTTTAGCACCTTTTAGCCTGTTGCATTTAAACTGTCTACTCAGATTTTGTTTTGATGTTGTGATTGTTTTAACTCGAGATTGTTTTAACTCCAAGCTGATTTTTAACCAATTTTCTTGTTCTTAGCATTAATTTATTGTTTGATTTTAATTGTTTTTATTTTGGACTTCTGGCTTCTCTTATTCTTAAACAATTCTAAAATTGGCTTTACTATTTTAGATTTTACAAGATTCCCTTTGATTTTAAACTTCTTCTGATTTTACAAGCTAGTTTGGCTTTTGATTTTACAATTTACTTGATTTAAATGTTCTCTTAGATTTATCTATCTTAACACCTTTTTTTTTCATTTTTAAAATCATCTTTTATACTGGGCTGCCTTATACTGGTGTTTTATCCCCTTGCAAGATTTTACTTTTCTATGGTTTATTTACAATGGTTTCAATTTTGTAGTTGACGCCAACCCAGTTTCAGTGGTTGTTTATTGTGATTTATTAGTGAATCATTGTGTAACTTACTTGTTTTTATCATTGCCTATTGTTGTGGTTTGTTTGTATCAATGCCTATTATGTTGTGAAACTTAATCTTTCTTAAATTGTGAATTTAAAAAATTACGCCATATGCTCTATTAAGGGCAGGTCGGTTATTTATTTATTTACTTATGATTTAAACCAAATGAATTTTTTAGCTGAAGAACATACTGCAGAAAGCCTGTGTGGGTCTTTAAATTTCTAGTCAGGTCTTGATTGACTTCCTTCCAGAGTGAAAAACACCCAGGCACTCTAATGATCTTTTCCCAGAGTATTAAGGCTTTCGCTTGAATAATGGTTCTTAAGGGCTTATTACCAGTCAGCATAAGCATGGAATCCATCAGGGTAGTCTTTACTGCTCTAGCAACAATACGTAAGGACTGATTTTTTCCAGGGTAAAAAGAACATTTTCTCCGGCCACAACAAATCAAAAGGGGGTCTAACCCCTGCCTGCTCCTTAGCAAGAAATCTGCTAGTTTCCAGGTAGTAGTTAAGTCTTCTCACAACTATTTTCACCATAGCCTTCCCTGCATTACTAGTAAGTTATATAGGTCTATAATTCTGGAGATTATTAGGATATTTGTCCTTCTTAGGTATGGGTATAATGATAGAGGTTCACCATTCAGCTGGTACAATACCAGTATTCCAAATTAAATTGAAAAAGGTCCAAAGCGCTTCAATTGCCCTAGGGCAGAGATGAGAGAAACTCTGAATGGATTCCATCTGCACCAGGCAATTAACCATAAGTAAGGCTTCTTACGCCCGTATTCACCAACACGGATTACCTCCGGGTAATCTATGGGTAAGAGTAAAATCACGAGTTTAATGCGAAACGTTATTCTCCAGCCGAAATTTCGCCAAACTCGCAGATTTCATCGACAGCTCTGACTCTCCGGGCAACCCTCCGTTTTTGCCGAGTTATCGGAGGGTAACCTATTCACAAGGAGCTTGTAAACAAACAAATGGAGGATTCTATCGCTGCGTTTGAGCTTGAAGATCTTGAATTTCTTGAAACTGTTGAAAGAAGGGAAAGATATGTCCCAACTATCAGAAATAATGACCTAGAAGAGTTAGATGAAATAGACTTTATTGAAAGATATCGTTTCTTAAAACTGACGATTGAAGAACTGATCCCCAAAATTGGCAGTAAGTTGGAATCTGATGCAGATCGGAACAATGCCTTAACTCCAACGGAAAGTTTTAACTGCTGTAAGATTTTATGCACTTGGAAACCAGCAAATAACATGTTTATATTATATAACAGCACGTGTTTATATTATATACAAAGTCACATGGTTTTACCTCGCCCAATCAAAGGCCTCGTTATATTTCCTCCAAGAGTTAAACTCGAGTTGTGAAATCCTCTGTTAAAAACGGTTGGAGAATAAAAAGCGAGGGTTAATCCGAGAGTAACTCTGAACCGTGGATATTCCGATCCCCGAGTTACTCTCGAATTTAACTCGGCGTGGTGAATACGGGTGTTAGAGCATAGGTCAATTCATTTGGAGTAATGCATGCTTCAAAAACTGATTCTGCACAAGGTTCAAATTCTGACTGCTGTGTGGTTTTTTGTTTAACACCGGACGAATGTATTTTTGCGTGCTTTTTCTATTAACCCCACAGAAATGCTGTGCAAAAGCATCTGTAACAGAAGAGTCCGAAGTAAGTTTTTTTTTTATCTTCAACTATAAAAGATTGTTTAGGTGAGCCAACTGGATCATTCATTAGGTTGCCTATAAATTTAAACATTGTTTTACCATCAGTTTGGTAGTTTATATTTGAAATAAATTTATATGTATATATATATCTACATATATATATATGTATATATATATCTACATATATATATATATATATAAGTATATATATATAT